CCCACCCCCACCCCCAGCCACCTAGGGCAGGGAAGGAAAAGTCTCCATCTGGGAATGTGCTCTAGAGAAAGCTAGGTGTGGAAAGGCTCTAGTGCCCATTTGCTATTATTTATTTCCAATTTGTTGCCCCAAATATGAGCCAGAAGTGTTTGGGTGTTTTGTTTTTTAAATCTTTGTTGGCGTCATGACTTGGGGGTGGGAAATGGAGTGTTTACTGAGGACAGTGCTCCTCTGACTCCCATCTCACTTGATCCATTGCAGCCTTTTGTTGTGAGATGACATTGTCAGTCAGTCCCATGGAGTCTGCTCATGAGATGCTTTTTAAATAGAATCGACCAATGTTTTGCTGCCAGTGATTAAAGTATTATTTATACTAATTGTTGCCTGTAGTTTTGATGTAATTCGTTGATCTATATTTGAAATAAAAAAAAGTGTAGCAAAATCTCCCTCCTGTTTGGTGCCTTGACAGAGCATTCTTTTAAGTTTTCTAAAAGCTAACATGCAAAATAAACAATGTATCATATTCTGCAATAAAGTAGACACCAATTTTATTTGGTGCCTATGGTGTGAAAGTTAAGTAAGCCACACAAGGCTTATCAGTTCTGCTCCCCTCAAGCCCCTAGACACACATTCCCAATTTGGCTACCATATTTTGTGAGCCTGAAGTTGAGTCCAGAGTGCAAGGTGGTCGGCAATATTGTTGAAAGAGAAGTAACTGCGTGGCTTATAGGGGGCTCCAAATCAGCTTTCTATCCTGACCAGCCCTAGACACCCTTGAGTGTAGGAGTCCTCAAAGGAGGTTTTCCAGTCTGGGTGAGAGTGCTGGTCCTGGGCCCATCTGAGCTGACTGGTTGGTGGTAGTTGCTCTGACCTGACCTGGCTGGCCTCCAGTCTCAGACTCCTATTTTTCAGGGGGCCTGCTGAGCCGCTCTGGGGCCCCTAGCACCTGCCTCTCCATCCCTACACCTTTCTTGCCCCTCAGACAACAGTAAACACTCCCCATTATAAAAAGTACCATGCATTATTTTTATCACTAGAGCTTTCCCACATCTTGGCCTGGGCTTTCTGAAGAGGGGGCCAGGACAGGAGACCCAAAATAGATGGGGGAGAGGGGTGTCTTGCTGGAGACAGGAAATGAGCAGAATGCATAAAATCGGACATGTGTCCTTAATATATGGAAGGACTCGCCCCAGACGCGTGGACATGTGTATTTATAAGAGCGCAGACAGAAGTTTAAATATTCAGAAACATATTATGATTGTCCTCTGCCCGTCTTCTGGTTAATGGCTCCTCCTATGCCCACCGATACATCAATACGGTGGTGTGTATTGAATCACCGGCAGGGATGAGGAGGAAGCGAGTCCATCGCCAAGCCCGCTGAGTACAGTACAGTAAATCGGACCCTCGGCAGACGGCGCTTCCCGCCCGCCAGCCGCCATGTTGGGGAGCCCTCCCTGCCCCCCGCGCCGGGCTGGGCAGCCGGGGCTCGCCGGCAGCCAGGGGAGGGCCTCTCATAACCCGGAGAATTTTCAAAGTGCGAGGAAGATGATAAGAATAGATTTCTACAAGTCGTGACCACGTGATTGGCGAAATAATTAATTCAGCACGTCCCTTAAGAAACACGGAGTCGTCATTAATCTGCCACGCAAAGGGCTCTCTCCGACTTGGAAAGTGCAGGGTTCCCGAGAATTCGGCCCGCCGAGGGGGGCCGCGCCGGCCTCCACCCGGCCCTGGAAGCGGGCGCGAGCGAGGCCCGCAGGTAAATATTTTGGCGACTTTTATTTCATCGGATTTAAATCCTTAATGAACTTAGCTGTCAGAGCCGCTGACAAATAGTTGCCTTTGCTTCCTGATTTGGAACCGCGCGCCGGCGAGAAGTTGTTAGTGGCTTGGATGGTGACCTTTGGTTCAGCAAAGCTTTGCACTTATGAAAAATTACTGCGAGCGGCCGAGTGTGTGTGAGAGAGAGAAAGAGAGAGGGGAAGAGAGGGCGGGTGTGGGTGAGGGTGAGGATGCGAGGGTGTGCGAGGGGCTCGGGTGCCAGGGGTGAGGGGCTCGGGTGCGCACAGGCTGCTGAGACAACAGGAGTTGTAAAGAACCCGCCAGGCTGGGGACGCTCCTGGCGCACGCGGGCCGAGGTTGCCCGGTCGCCTGTGTCTACCGGGAACAATGGTCGCTGTCACGGCATCTGCTGCCTATTCTTAAACTGGCGAGAAAAGGCCCCGGCCCTCTTTTCAAGCGAGGCTCGTAAATTTTTCTTTGCGTCATAATACAAGGCTATAAAATAGAGTTGAAATTTTACCCCAGGCAGGTTTTAACCAACAGATAATGATTTCCGAGTTGCTTCTCCCACTCTCCTCCTTCCCTACCCTAAGCTCTGCGGCTGGCCACCCCAGCAAGCAGTTTCTCTCCTTCTTTATTTTGTATTTGTCATTTTTCTTAAAAAGACCTAACAAAAGGCAGAGAAGTCCCTGCCGCCCAAGTCGAGCATCCCCGGCAAGGCGGCTCCTCGGGAAAAGGAGTTTGTGGGGAGGCCGGGGCGAGAAGGCCACAGTGGCTCCCATTTCAGCCTACTTTCACCCGCACTCCAAGATTTGAGGTCCTAAAAGCCACTCCGTTTCGGTCCCACCCCACCCTAGGCGAGAGCAAGCTGCAAGTACTCTTCCTCTAGCTCGAAGCCCTGACCCGGTATCGGAAAACAACCTTTTGGTTCCCCTCCTCCCCCAGTTTGTGCGCAATTGCCTCCATTGACTTTGAGGATATTTATTGCGAGCTGTGTGTGGTGGTTATTTGGGGGGTTGTATATCTCTCTTTTCTCTCTCTTCTCTCTTTCTCTCTCTCTCTCTCTCTCTCTCTCTCTCTCTCTCTGTGCATATTTCTCCGTCGGGACAGAAACAAAGTTTCCCCGTTATGAATTATACATCCAAACAATAACACATTAATTCAATTATTCAAAGATGACAAATGTTTATGTGCTTAGCAAGTGACTCCAGAGCGCAGATTCGGAATGCTTTCTCTGAGCCACTTAACGTTTTTCTCAATGAGAATCGTCTCCCCTCTTACCCCACCCACTTCAGTCCACCCAGACATCCCCCTGTAGGCTCAGAAAGGAACCCACAAAAAAGCCGCCCCGGTCACACTAGAGGCCCGACAGTCAACAGCCTCCCAAGGCCCGGTTTGGCGGGCACAGGCCCGGGCTATTTTATCAGTGTGACAATTGCCCGGGTTGGTGTGATAAATCATCGTAATTCCTGAAAGGGTGTGAGGCTGTTGGGGGCCGGGCGAGGACTGTAAATCTTTACGGTTTATTGCTCTATGAACATATGCTCCGATTGAAGAAGGCTTAGATCCTTTCTTGGAGACAAATTCCCGCAAAGCAACCCCCCTCTTTGGCTGGAGTTAACACTTGCCTCGGCCCCGCAGGCTCGGCCCCAAGTTGGAGGCTTGGGGGCGGGGTCCTCTGGGTGGGGATGGAGTGGGGCAACCCACAGTCCGGCTACGACGGGCACCCTGAGTGGGCCTGTGCCCTGGCCGGGAAAGGTGAACAAAACGATGTCCAGTCTAGCGCTGCTAGGTCCGGGGACGGGTCCTCCGGGACCAGCCGGAGTCTCTGGATTGAGGATTCAGAGGACCTTTTATCCTTCCCCGGGGCTCGTTTATGGCTTTGGGGCACTTTTACTAGTAAGAGCGCTTGCAAGCCATGAAGGGGCATCAACACCACTGATGCCGCTGAGAAGGGGAGAAAGCCGCGTTCAGAGTTCCCCTTAGTGCGGGATTCCAGGATGAGGGCCGGCCTGAGACAGGTCGGTGAGAGCTCGCAGGAACGCCAGAGTGAGCTCTGGCCCAGCATGCTTTACTTTTCTTCCCACATGCAGAATACCTACCGCAATTCTCACCTAACCACTTGCAGAGTGGTGAGATCCGGTTCTGAAGTGTTATTCTAAAACAGAAATTTCCTTATTCCCCAGGTAAGCCCGATTCCGCAGCGCCCTCGCCTCCTAGGAGGCGCCGCAGGAAGCGGGAAGCGGGGGCATGGCGGCCGCTGGGCCAGCGGGATCCGTTGGCCCTGCGCCAATCTGGAGTCGCACAGGTCAAGGTGGGCAGGGGTTCCGCTCCTAACGCAACCACAGACCTCAAAAGACTTAATGGAGTGCTCAGGGCGCAGAGAAAGGTGGTCACTCTGGGTCCTGCCCGGTTGCTAGGCGATTTTTCTGCCTGCTGAGTCTGAGAACCCCAGCCAGCGCCCTAAGGGGTAGTGTGGTGTCAGGGGAACAGGCCAGGGTTGAAAAACAGCAGGTCTCACCTTATGGCAGGAGCTGGTGCTGTGGTACAACTTAGGTGCCTGGCGGGAGGGAGTGGGGAGAGCAAGATCTCGACTTAGGTAGCAAGGAGGGCACCTTGCCTGGGCAAGGGCCAGACCTGGAGTACCTGAGCTTCGGTTTTACAGCCCTCTCCTAGAGATGCCTTTCAGGGAGGCAACCTCTACCATTTCCAATCCATTGGGAGGTCTGACTGAAGGCCCGGCCAGGGTCAGAGGTCGTCGCGGGAAGAGACTCCCTTGCCCGCATTCCACTGCCTGTGACCTGGCTGTAGCTGAGCAGGTCTCAAGCTGTGAGGATGGAGGCTTTCCTTCTGTCACCCACCAGTGTGCCCCTGGGAAGACCCTTGGGTCCCATGCTTCCTGAGCCCCTCCTCCCAGCCCCCAAGCCTGGCTGCGCTCCTGGGCTGGATGGCGTGAAAGTTTCAGCCTCAATCAGTACAATCTTCCTTCGGGGTCACGTGAACAAATATGCTCGCATTTGAAGGCAGCGTCTGTATTTCCCGACTATGAGGGGGTTTCCGGGGCTCTCTCCAAATCCAGAAAGGACCACGTTCCGAAAGCAAAACAAACCCCGAGCTCTGGGGGAGCTAGGAGAGCTGGGCAGGAACCCAGGAGTGGGTGGGGGCGCGAGTGGCCGCCGCTCTGGGCCTGGGAGCGGACCCGCGGGCTGGTGGACCGACCAGCGTGCAGATCAGGCGAAGCCAGCTTAGGGACTACAAACTCGTTCCTCCTGCGTTTATTGGTAGTTGAACCACAGCCTGGTTCCGTTCTACCGGGAATTCCGCGTGCTCCGGTATATGGCCGAGTCGGCGAGCGCGCAAGACCAGGGTTGGGACAGTGTTGTCTGCAGACAAAGAGGGAAGGCTAGCTCTGCCCCCCACTGGCGCCCACTCTGAGACCGAGGACACCAGGTTTATGATAAATTGGGATCCAGGTAAGCAATTGCATGACAAAATGTAAATCTTTGGGCACAGGGCTACTTGCTGCCCTGAGAGGGATACTAAATATGATTTATTTTGTGTAATCTGTGATCTTGATTATTGCCAATTGGTGAGGCAGCTGCAGACCTAGATACACTTCAACATATACATCTAGGATGGTGATTAATTGTAAGGAGGTGCACTTTTACGGGGACATTACCCGCCTACCAAAAGGTTAGGAGGACACTACCTTGCCAGGCTTGGAGTGTTTCAGGCAGCCTTGAGTGGGTGTAGCAGTTTGAGGAGCGGATCTAGTGAGGGAACTGGGGGTTGGAGTTAGTATTTTGAGGGCAAATGTGCAGTTATGAGAATGGGTTGAAAATGAAATGAATAAAAAGAAACTTTTTTTACACTGTCACTACCAAAGTAAGATGGAGCGTCATATTAATTCTGTGTCTTGGGTTGCTGGACTGGGTGCAGGCGAGTTGATTTATATGTATTTAAAATAAACTGTGTGACCAGACAGCTCCCTGCATTGTTCTAAGAGCCAGCTCCACACACTCAGCCTTTATCTCTTGCTGTTAGCTTCCTATTTTTTTTTCCATAGGAGTTAGAATTTTCCCCAATTCAAACGAACCCCTCTAATTACCCTGAGGAGTTTGGGAGGCTTCCTCACAGTCTCTCTCGCTCTTTGCCGAAATGACAGAGAACAGGTTGAGTATTTCTGGATCCTTCCCAAAGAGTAGTGAATGCTAAATCATACTGGTTCATGCATCCTACATATCCTTTTTTTGAGTTGTTCTTCATGGCTCCAGGCTCTGAGAGGACAAATGGTCCCAGGTCCTTACTCAGCTAAGGCAAGAGTGAGTGACTATGAAGCCCCAATGGGCCAGACCAGAATGGACTTCCATAAGGAAGGAACCCCAAATCCCTCCCCAAGTTTAAGTTGGGACAGGCCTCAGTGGAAGGACTGGTTTCCAGGGCCCTAGTCATCAAAGGAGAACAGGAAAAGTTGTTTTGTCAATCAGCTGTGCTTGGCTCCATCAGAATTTGAAGTCCGTGGACATTTTTCTTTGCTCCCTCACTGCCTCGGAGCTGCGAGTCTGCCAGCTTAGTCAGCTGAATCCAATTACTGCGAGCAGCATTTCATTTGGCCCCATGGAGCACTCACTTACAACTTGCCCGAAATTTTCAATAATCCCTACCAAGACTCTCAGCCTGACCCTATCCTAAAGTTTCCCGGGGTGCTGCTGGGGGTGAGGTACAGGGCCTGGTTGCCTAAAGCCAGTTCTTTCCTTACAGCTTGCGGACAGGACTCTCCTCCTTCTCCCTAGATTGTGGCTGTGGAAATGATATTGGAGCAAATGGCGAAAAGCCAGTAGGGTTAAAACCATGATTTGGGATACCCAAAAGGCCAAAGTTGGGCCAGTGCTGCATGGCAGGTGAGCAGGGGAGGAAAGGCAGGAAAAGGGGCTGTGGGAGTATTTCTTCTAGTGACCCAACTTTAGCCAACTTGGG